TTCCGAACAAAGTGTTCGGAATGTGTTGTAGAATACCGGCACTGGTTTTACGATGAAGATTTGCCTTGAAAAAATATCAATGCAGCGAGATGTAATAGTGCATAAAGTCGAAATGAGTTGACTATTACCCTTTCGAGAGTTTCGATCGAGTTGATAATTGGTTGAGGTAATCAAAATCATCAACGATCTTCTTTAAACCATGCAACGAAGTCGAGGATCCAAATTTTTTAATGCGGCCAAATCGTTTGGATTTTGATGGTCCATAATGAATCGAATTTACCTTGTTTTGCTGCATAAAAGTAAAAGGTTTTAGGTGTACTAGTTGTCATGAGGACTCTGACTGACTTGATTTATTTAGAATTTTATAGGAAACAACTGTTAAAAGAGATCTATGAGCACTTGAAGCAGAATATGAAGAAAAACGGTGAATGAATATGAAAGCAATAGTTTGCATTATTTATTAATCAAGTCAGCGACTAAACAAAAAAGTTCATGCATATACCCATGAATTTCATTCGAAAGGTCATACAATTTTGAAACAGTCTTTCTATATAACACCCACGCAAGGCCATTTGAATCAATCATAGCAACTGCAATATTTCAAATTCAGTTATGATCGGTTTATTGGATTCATTCATTGTTTGTGATAACAAATACTGGAATCATTGAACAATTTATACACAAAAATCAATTTACACACACACGTTCACAGTTTAATTTGTGATTCAATGGAATAATGCTGGTGCTGATAATGCCGACAAAATCTATCATGTTCTATCATAACTATGATATCGTTGTTTATTTTAAAAATTCATGAACGGCTGGTTTGTTGAATTCATGAATTGCAGTTTTGCCCAAAATGGTTCCGGTGCTTGCAGTTGATCCAAATATCGAAGGTCTCACGCGATGCCATTTCGGATGTCGGTCAAATTGCTGATAGGCCTTCAAATTTTGTAGAAATGCTTTCGGATTGATCTCAACCGTTTTGACATTATTACTGATGCTGACGCGTTTCGAATCATGTTTGATTGCTCCACGATTGATGACAACACTATATAAGCGCAATGTGAAGAAATAAAATAGCTCGACTAAACTGATGACAGAGCCGCCCAAGCATAGACCAAAAATTCCACCGAACGAGGCTGTTGAGAAATTTAAACTCATGAAACTTCGTTCATTTGTTACGGATCAAGAAGAAATGACAGAATTTCGCTACCAAATAAGCCATCCCAAGTCATATACATATCACGTCGGTACTTGATACATGTCAGGTCCTTGAAATGAACCTTAAGTGTCGTTGAATCATCTAGATCTTCACTATTATCTCTGTTGAATAGATTTTTTTTGCAAGAAAAAATAAAAAATCCAGTCAATTCCTCGTTTTTCTGCATTTTAAATTTTAATACTGATTTATCATCGATCAAGATTTTGATTTGGAATGCTGGTCATTCGCAATTGAAAATGGTCATTTGAATCAAAACAAAATTACCCGGAAGTTGTTGTGTTGAGTTTATCCTCTGGATAGCGGCGAGATAAAATTGATTGCACCTCATAACGCTGAATTAAAAATGAAACCATATTGTTGAGTAGCTCCGATTTAAACGCAAGCTATACAAAAATAGTTCAAATTCTTACTAATTCCGAGCATGTTGGTGGGCAGACACACTCCATTCCGATGCTGCTCTCATTGAGGGCAGCTATATTGTCTGGTGGTTTCAAACTCGAAAATACATCTGAATCGAAAGAAGTATAAAATAGAGACTAAATTGTTGATCGAATTGACTTGTGTGAAACTCACGTCGATTATCCCGTAAGCATTTCACATCGTGCAATGAGCATTGGCGATACTTTTTCGAATAGGCTTTCATATCTAAAATGCACACAAACAAACGATAATTTGATCATTCGATTTCAATTGGAAAATATGGAGCAAATAATATTTTACTTGACTCCGGATAATAGAATGGCAAACAGTCACACTTATTCAAAATTGTGTCAACGGTACACTCGGTCATGCAACTTTGAAAGCTGTATTTATTTGTTGTTCGTAATTTTTTCTGGGTGAAAAAAAAACGCATTTAATTTAAATTTTGAAGAAAATATGCCATAAGTTAATGTTACCTCATCGACGAATAGGCAATTCCGTTGTTTTTGTGACAATGATCGAATGCCGGGTTCGCCCACAATTACTGAGGGAAGTACCGCAATTGTCAGATCATATCCCGGCTGGCCAATTGTTGTCGTAGTGACCGATGTTTGAGGGAAATTTTCGGCATCATGAATTAGGATTTTTGCACCATAAAATGACTTACTGTATGCCACATATGACTCCTTCTCGATTTCAATACGAATATTCAAGCCAACATTCTCACCAGCCCCAGATACCCGATACGTTGGATTATTTAGTTGCTCATTAACGGTATTTTTTGATGAATCACTGAAATAAATTAGCTCATCATCATTGCATGGAAGATATTTACATGGTCGAAAATAAAAAATGGCATACATTTCCAAGTCGCCTTTTAGTGCTTTGTAATTGAATGAACAACAAAATCCCTCGCTTGAGCGTGCGACCCGGAAGAGAGTGTCACAAGGGACGATTTTACCGAGCCAAGCGCAATTTTTGATCATGTTATTACAGGGCTGCATCAGTTCCAGCATTAGCTTATCAGTTGTGTAGCCCATCTCCTCAAGGAATTGATAGGTTTTCAAATATAATGCATCGATATATTCAGGTGTGATCAATTTGGCTAAATTCTCTAGAAATTCGATAATTGACTCCTTTTTCAAACCTTTTTCAATTCTGCAACAGACCAATGAAAAATTTATTTCAATCAAGTAACGCACAATAATGTTTGAAAAACGTTCGTACAATTTGTCCGTGATATTCTTTGTGGCTGGTGCATAAACTTTGTTGATATTGCATATGGTGATTGCGGGAAATGGAACATTCCAAATGGGATAATTGTTCGTTTCGACCGTAGTGATTGTTGGTGTTGTTTGAAATCGATCCCAAACTAGGCCCATCAAGACAATTGCAAAAACTGCGCCCATCACACAAGCACTCGACCAAATGATCAAACTCAGCAACTTGTTTATTCGCTTTCGGCTGTTGGAAATGGACATTCAATCATAACCAATATCATTTGAAAATTGCACCGAAATTGCAGTTTACCGGCTATAGCTTGAGCCCAATTCTTGGATGTCAACAACAATGTGTTTGATACCATGCAAAGTTGAGTCTCGGCAAAAGTCCATCGTGGTTTGAGCCAGCGCCTGTACACAGTAATTGTCGCGAACATCCTGTAAACTCGTTGGTATGTGCAATGTAATGTTGGATTTTTTGCGGGATTTCTTCTTTTCTGGCACTGATGCAGCTGGCGGAATACGTATTGATGTTGACATTTTGTTGCCTAAAAGAATAGTCATGTGTGTGTGTGCGTGTGTCAATTTTCATATAAATCATCAATTATTTGTCAATAAATGGAACAAATAAAAAGGTTTCTCCGCTTTAAAATTCAAATATTTCGTATAAAAACATTATGTGAATCAGCATTGTGCAACAGTTTTGTGTTTTCCAATATTCCGACAGATGGCGCATTTAGCATACATAATCTATTTGAATATTTGTCCCAGAAAATTGTTTTCTAAGACGAATCAATTTCTCAATACCACCTGATAATCAGTTTAGATTTTTTTTCTATTGAAATTTAGATGTACATAAATTCACAACAATAAAACTTATTTGCAAACTGAATTTGTGCTGCTGCTTTTCGAAAAATACGAAAATTTCGCAATGCATACCACTGCATATTTAACCATCGTCTCAATGTAATGTTGACAGTCGAGAGCATCGCTAGTGGTGCCCGCGCTCACCAAATTCTCCGACATATTATATATACATACATACATCTGTGTGTATCTGACCTTAGTGACAAACCAAACGCAGTTTTTAGTTTGCTTTGAGACGTGCAATCAAAAACTATTCAAAAAAAAAAAGAGAATCACAAGCAAGTCAACGAAAAGCAAAGAAAAATTATCATAAAATCCTGTATAAACGATAAATAATCCGACTAAATGTAGAATCACAACCAATTTTCTCGTATCGAGCAAATGAAAAGTAAATTTTTTGTTTGAGTTTGTTTCAGTTGTTCATTTTTTTGTGTGTAAGAAAAAAAAAGGAAGAAAAAATTTTTGTTGCTTGTTTCGATCGACTGACACGAAAAAAAGTGGGAAAGAAGTATTTGTAAAAAGTCAGCGAGCTAAATCAATTGACAGAGGAAAGAATGTTGTTCGACCAAATTTCACTCGTGAAGTGAAATTCAATAAACGCAAATTCCGTAAAAAATAACATCTCAAAGAACAAAACTTTGAAGCAAAAGAAAAAAAAAATTTGAGATATATGTATATAACAATTTTTTTTTCTCCTCAAAGCATTCGTATGCTCGAATACATACACAATCAAAAGTATGATTCGTTCGAATCCAAACCGAGCGTAAAAAGCTTCAATTTTTGGAGTGCGACGAAGATAGCCAATCAACAATAGAACCAAATAAAGCACGAGCGCACGGCACAAGAAAAGCAAAGAAATATAACGAGAGAAGAGAGCAAAAAAAAGCAAGAGAAAAAATTAAAATAACAACAGCAGCAATAACAGCAGCAGACGCATACACAATACAACACAATAAATGGAGAAGAGTAGCGAATGAACTGCAAAAATTAGGTGAGCAAACGCATACTATAATAGCCGTAATATTTTATTTTATTTGATTATTTTGTGGTGCTCTTGTATCGTTTGCTGCTTTTTTGCAGCTTAAATTATCTTGTGCCCATTTGGTCCGTAATCTGTACACATATTCAATATCAATATATTCATCTAAATTTGATTATTATCTTGTGAGTGTAGAGAGAGAGAGAGAGAGAGAGAGAGAGAGAGAGAGAGAGAGAGAGA